GGCCCGGTACCAAATGACCCATGGATCGGTACCGGTCCGCGGCCCGGGGATTGGGGGCCCCTGCTTTAAGGAATAAAAACCATAATCGTTCGCAAATTGCTGATGTTTAAGAGGAATAAAATACTTGGGGCCGTCTTGTTGTAGGAAAATAATAAACTTTCGGTTGTTACCAGTAATTATATAATTATAACCGCATGTCACACAGTAGTTTATTCAGTGCTTAGGAAAAGTAATTTCAAAGTTTGCCATGTGATATAAATATTTATGAAAAGATATCAATATTTCTCTTTCTTTCACTCTCTCTGACTCCACCCACCTTCCTCTTCCTTAGGACTGAAGAAGCGAACCCGAAAGGCGTTCGGGTTACGCAAGAAAGAGAAGGACACTGACTCCACGTGAGTAACTCCATCATTAAATTTTTTTGTCATACATTTTATTACATCTACCATTTTAGCATTTAGCAAAAAAAAAGCAGGACACCCTTTGTTTGGCTCAGGAATACCAGAACTATATTATCATCACTTTAGGCCATGCCTTGCTTTGCTTATTTGTAAGTCGCTTTGGATAAAAGCGTCTGCTAAATGAATAAATGTAAATGTAAATGTAAATGCCCCCTTCATGCCCCATATGCATCAGCATGAGAAAGAAAGATGATATGATTGTTGGTTTTTTGTTTTTCAACTCTGCAACGTTTCCTCTTTAGAAAGCCAATTTAAGAGATGTAGTGTGCAGTGCTAAACTGGTGGCTATCAGCTTGTATTACTCGTTAGCTACATTAGCCTCTTAAGTCCAGTGACTAAGTGGCTCATTATATCTGGATTAAAGACATGTGCTAAGCATTCAGAAATCCATCACATTTATATATGAATGATGTGAATTCTTGTTTTATTTGATTTTAGGGGATCACCAGAGAAAGGCAGATCAGTGAGTATAGCCATGTTAATAAGTTTGACTGTTTGAGGTCGAACATTTATCGCTAACTGATGTATTCGAATGTATTCGGAGCTACGGTAAATAAAAAACGTCGTTTTTGCTTTGTGTCATTTCCAGAAAAAAGCTAACGGTGCTCCGAACGGGTTCTACGGCGAGATAGACTGGGATCGATATGTAAGCGACGTGCCGAGTATTACTCTGCTGTGACAGCGTATCCGTATGATCGTATATCGTGATAAGGAAATGTGATATTATTCTATTTTTTACTGCTGGATCACAGTATTTATCTCATGGTGCAGCAGCACATATTGAGTTAGGAAGTTTGGCTCATTTTCATGTTGTAACAACATTTGAGGTAATCGTTTATTGGTAGGTATGACATTTCCCTCACTAATCCATTGATTGCTTTTGTCTTTCCCAGAATTCCCCTGATGTGGATGATGAGGGTTACAGCATCAGACCCGGCGAACAAGGAGGAAATATCCTTTCTCGTGTAAAAACAGTATCATTGAATTTATTTATGTTTTCAGGGCTGTGTCTCAACCCACCTGGTCTACACTGCTGTGATTGGCTTTGTTCTCATGGTCTTATATTTCTAGGGTTCCATGTTTCCAGAGTCTTGTATTTCCAGGGTCTTATGTTCCTAGAGTCCTATATTCCCTGTATCCTGCATGCCCAGAGTTTATATTTTCAATGTCCTATATTTCCAGACGTCTTTGTTCCCAAGTCCCAACATTCCCAGGCACCATATTTCTAAGCTCTTTGTCCCCAAGATCGGTGTTCCTTAACGGAGCTCCACCGCCTGCCAAAGCCAAAATGTTCTTCTCATCCAGTGAGTCAGAGGGTGAGGACGAGCCAGGGAAGAAGTTTAAGATCAAAATCAAGCCCCTGGCACCAGATAACGGCACTGTGTCCACAGTGGATGAGCTGAAGGCCTCCGTGGGCACACTGGCCATCTCAACCTCACCTTTGGTAAGAGCCAAGAAGACAAGAGCGTTCCAGTTCTCTAATCACGTGTTGTCACAAATTAAGCTAATAGCTAATTCTTTAAACAGAATTTGTATGGCAACGCTAGCATCCCTAAAACAATCTAATTTTGCTGTCTCCCTTTATTTGTCTTGCAACAGATGAAAAGTCCGGTATGTCTGAAGCGTGACTTGATTATTAGCGTGTTTAAAGATTAGCAGGTGTAAATATCATCATGAGCTTCCTAGCAAACTTGACAAGTGTTTTTATTACATATTGAAATAGAGCTTAAGCTAAGGATGTAAAAAAATGGATCACTGTATGTAGCATGTAATAGAAAAGGTTTTTTTTTTATTTACTAAAAATAATAAATGTGATGGTTTCTAAAATAAAGTGCATTGTTAAACAGCGAAATACTTTGATATATTGTATAATTGATTATTGTCACTTTTTCCTTCCTTTCTTGCAATCACAGAGGCGCAGCCCAGTAAGTTTGCAAATTGCAGTTTCCATTTTTTGAGTCATTGCAAAAAAAAAAGTTGGACGGGGTTCACTGTCAGTACTCAGAGCTGCCATTCAGTACAAGAACAAATGTGGCGGTCGCTCTTTGAAGGACCAAACGTGCCACACCGTGACAGGCCATGGCAACATGGGTCATTAGGCCAAAACATCTGGGAAACATGTGTTTCTCCACAGAGAAGACAAAAAACAGTCCTTGATTCAAAGTTAGGTTGGAAGAAGAAACTGGCTCCATATTTTATTAAACTGCCAATTTGCTAGATTCAAAACATCAGATGGCAACGTATCTTGTGACACTTTGTGGTCTAGGTTTTATGTGGATAAGCTAGACAAGCCTGGTTTGAACAGACCCCAGGTTGTCAATCAGATATTGAGAGGTTGGCGTAGCAATTGTAACAAAATTTTTGAGCTTTGTAGCATTGGAGATGATTGACTTTATTTTTCCCTACTGATATTTACAAATCTGTTTTGGTGGATATCCATCTGCATTTTTCACAGCTTTTCTTCTTGGTTATCCAATCAGAGGACTGATTCTAAGCAGCATATAATTCCAGGGTCCTGGATTTTATGTTTCCAAGACCCTAGTTTCCAAGGATTCCATATTCCCAGGAATGTGTGTTCCCAGGATCATATATTTCCAGGGTCTCATGTTCCCAGGGACCTTCTTCCCAATAACCTATATTCCTGAAGCCCTATTTCCCAGAATCATATGTTCCCAGAGCCTTGTTTCCACCATCCAATGTTCTACCCTGTAACCTGTATCCCAAGGAGCCAGTATCCCCAGGAGCCTATGCTGTTTGGCTCCTTCGCTCTTAGAATCAAGGAAATATTCCCATCGTCCTGTACTCTAAGGTCCTAACTTGTCAGAATCTTATGTTCCCAGGATTTTCATTGCCTTATGTTGCTGCTTGTAAGGACTGCTGGTTAAAGGGCACGATATTTTGGAATTTGCGAATCACTAGAAAAATTATTACTAGCAATTCGGAGAACCACTTACCTGACACTTAAAGAACATTTCAAAATTAAAAAAACTTTGCTGTCTTCTTTTCCACAGTGTCCATTGAAACGAACTATCTCAAGTAAGTGTGAAATGTGTGAACATAATGTTGTTCAGATTTTAATTTGAAAAAGCATAAACAGAGCACTATTTGTGGATTCCACCCTAAGCTGTTACTCCTGGTTGTCCCTCTAGGTGAGGAGATCGCCAGGCCGAGACGTTCCACTCCAACACCGACTCTAACTCTGACACCTGGTCCGGACACACCAAGGTTAGCTGCTAGCTATCATGTAGACACATGATCACACAGAGCTTTAAACATCAGTTGTTTTTAAGACCTGGTCAAATTAGAATGAATAGTCATTCATTTTACTATTAGTTCTTGCTAATATTTCGATTTTGTTGTCCTGTATGTTCTGCAGTAAAAGGTTATCAGACAATGCTTCAGCTTTTTTTGGCCCTCCGTTTGAGGCAAACTTTGAAGCACAGAGCTCAGAAGGTAAACAAATCCAACATGCAACCATTTCTGATTCCATATGTCTATAAAATTTTCAGCAGTAATATTTCAATAGATAAAATACAAGGTGAGTTAACTAGCTTTTGCCTTTAGCAAGTCAGTTTACTATTTCTTTTTCTTGAAACATATTGAAAAAACTCCTGTTTAACCATGTTTAGTGTTCATAGCGGAGCCGGAGCTGTGGTGTCCTTCGACGCCACGCAACACCTCCCCGTTGAACAGACGCTTCCCCACAGGAGGTAAATTAGTATTGATAGAGATTTTTTTCTGGGTTATGAAGGCGGCCATGTTGTTTAATCACAAATATGTCCTTACAGCTCCACCTCCTCTTCCTCCAAAGAACATTCCTGCCACTCCACCCAGCTACAGATCCAGCTCTCTGGAATCGTCAGGTAGGAAGATCTGTACTGTACTACCATTGGGGTGGGATTCATTTTCCGGACACTCGGAAATCACAGCGACATCTGAATTAAGATTTTCTGAACTCTATGCAAATTAGATATGAAGCTGTAAAGTGACCAATCCAAATGATTGGCTCGAATGATTCGAGTACTATGGTGTGTTTGTTCCTACCTGCAATTAGTTCTCAAATGACAGTGCTAATATAAAATATGAATGTGAAAATTCTGCAATTAAAGGGTTACATCCAAACCAAATCGTACATCCAGCAGCTCATCCATGCAGAAAAACACAGGTTCTTCAAGGTTCTGCCGTGGCCTGAGAAATTTAAGACCGACTTTTAGTGCCGTTTCTGTTCCTGTCATTTTAGATCAGAAAAATCAGAGCTTGTGACAGTTCATTAGACTTACTTTCTAGCTTTTTGATCTTCAAAAATGCTATTGAAGGCCCCAGCGAGAATTGAACTCACGACCCCTGGTTTACAAGACCAGTGCTCTAACCACTGAGCTATGGAGCCTCATGGCATGAAGTTGGTTAGAGCTCTTGTTATGTCAATAAGTTCACACCCGAACAGTCATTTTGTTCAACTTGAATATATGTAAGCACTAAGGGTGTGACTGCTTTTATAAATATGTTCTTCACATTCTTATAAACATTTGCCTTAGGTAGGGCTCCATAGCTCAGTGGTTAGAGCACTGGTCTTGTAAACAAGGGTTCATAAGTTCAATCCTCAATGGGGCCTTCAACACTTCTTTTGAGAATTCAAATGTAGAAAGCCGTTCCAGGTTTGCAGCTTCTATCCTGAGCTAAGGTTACTGATTATATAGAGTTTCACATGTTCTGTGGGTTTTCCTCCAAGTTCTCCAGTTTCCTCCCACTGTCCAAAAACACACAATTGACAAAATTAGTTGTGCTAAATTGCACCTTGACTGGTGTGCCTTCTGAAGTGAAATCTCCTCCCTTTGGATAAAACATGATTGTAAGCCCCAGAATCTGCATTAACGTCTATATCTACATTGCATCACAGAAGCTGGCTCAGAAGTGCTGGACTCATGAGCAGCAGTTAAGCAGAAAGTTTTTATGCGTATGCCCGATTTTTTTACTTTGTATGTGCAGGTCGCACATGCGCATTTAATTCTTTTGCGCTGTTAATTGTTCCACAAAGTGGCAGCAGTGACCCTGGACCATTGATTCTCAAGGTAGTTGAAGAAAAAAATGGAAGAGACAGAAACGAGTTCAGGTTAAAATGTACACTCATTTGTATAATTCTAGTCTCAAAGAGTATAAGGATTTGTACACGAGCGCTAAATGTGGCGAGAGATTGCCCAAGCATTGTTCTTCTTGTTGTTGTGATTCTTCTTCATTGCCGTCCTTCACAACAAAAGACCTGCTTTACTGCTCTGTACTGATTCTTGTAGGCCAGGAGAGGTAGTGCAAGTTGTCGTAATGCGCATGCGTTGACAGCCCGTGTACACATACATGTGAAATAGAGCTCACTTTGAAAGGCTATGCATACAACTGTGCACATATGCATAAATTTTTTTTTTAAACCTAGGATGGTCCATGAGGTTATGACCCTCAAGCATCCTAATGTTGGTTGAAAGCCCATGAGAGTTGAACAAACAACCCCTGGTTTACAAGACCAGTGCTCTAACCACTGAGCTATGAAGCCCTGTGAAATGCATCATTCCACCAGTCAGTGCTACGTATTGTGTCTGCTCTTCTTGCAATATTTTGAATAACCAACACCAGAAACTGAGATAATTTTTTTAGCTGTAGGACAAGTCCACAGCTAGAATCAAATTCACAACCCTTGGTTTACAAGGGCCAGTCTCTAACCACTGCTCTCTGGAGCCCTACATGAATCATAGTAAAGTACAAAAATGAAAGCTGTCTTCGGTCACACCCTTGGTACTTATGCACACACAGAATGAAAATAGTGATAACGTGTTTGCATTCCAGGGTGTTTACTAATTTACATGCCAAAAGGCCAACAATGTAATAATCTAAAAGCTTCTACAGGTTTCAAGTCTAACACAGTCTCACAAACTGTAGTTTTCCCAGCCAAGTAGTCCATTATGAGTGAGAGATCACTGATATCATTTTCTGTCCCATCATAAATGGTTGGACAGGGTTAAAAGGGCTGAAGAAGTAGAAAGACCTACTTGCTGGAGTGCTACCAGCACTGTAGAGGTAGGAGTACTGTAGTTGCACAGTCTGTAGATGATTTCATCATCCCTGCTGTAAAAAAGGTAATCTGCCAGGTTTAAAGTAAAGGAGTTTATAAAAATATAAAGTGCATAGTGTATAATGGCTACAAGGTAATTTTCTCAATGTGTTCTTCTCACTCCTTTATCTTGGTGGGTCCTCAACTGTCCCCACTCAGTCCCAGGTCAGCAATGTAGACCTTTCTGTGTAGTTTGGATGCGTGAACCTCTTAGTCACACCAGATTACAGCACATTTTCAGGCAGATACTGTCATTTCTTAAACCACCTAGGATGGGATTGATACATCAACTGTGGCATCCCCAAGGATATTTGAGGTTGTCTAGCACCAGTCTTTCCAGAGTTTTAACATAGATGATAGTATGATAGTCAACCTAGTCAATATCCTAGTCTTTCTTCAATTGTCTTGAAGAATTAGTTTGACCTGTTGATGGTATGTCGTATCACCATGCACAGCAGATGTCAGTGATGATCACATCTGTCCTAAGTTTGATATCGTGAAGCAACATCACAGATGCCAAATCTGTACAATTTCACCTTCTCTCCAGTCTAATGTGAATCCTCTATGTTTTTTGGGCAGGTTATTACAGTGTTGTTCCGAGTGTAAGAGGAGAAGGATCATCTTCTATCTATCGGGACGTTCTACTATCAGACCCTACAGGGGGACCTGCTCTTCCTGACATGGACAATGTATTTGTACCATCAGATAACCCCAAATCTGAAGCAGAGACGTTGCAGTCCAACTGGGTCAGTTTCACCGATGGGACAACCTCCAGGCCTCCACCACCTAATGAGCCTGCCCCTTCCCCACCTCTCTCATCCTCTTCTGAGGACACGCCCCCTAATTCACCTCCTGCCTTATCCCCTCCTCCTCTCCAACCTATCCCTCCACCTGAATCTCCTCCTCCCCCACCCCCAGATTCCTCCCCAGACTCCCTATCTCCTGACGAACTGCCTCACCCTCAACATTCCACATCCCACCTTCAAGAATCTGGCTTTTCCATGACTGCTCCTCTCAATCTACCCAGCCCTGGCATGCCCCCTCTGCCCGCTGTGCCACCTCCTCTGGGGCTGCGAGATGACGCCAGAAGAACGCCAGACTCTTTTGGGCTAAGAGAGGAAATCCTCTCACTTTCCACCTCGCCCAAGGACATTGGGATGGGGGGTTTGCGCGGTACACCACCTCCACTGCCTCCTCTCACCTACAGGAGTGTGGTTGTCTCACCAGGGCCTTGTAGCCGTAAGTGTTCCACATTCTTATAGTCTCTTTTTAATCCATATGTTCTGTTTGTTATGTTGTAAAAGGTGTAAACGTACCCTCTAAAGGTACACCAGTAGTCCAACTATGTATGTTAATTTTCTCAACAATAATGTTGTTCTAACTAAAGGTACGTAAAATGTCTCTTTGAAGCTACTACCCCACTAACATGTCTTTCTACCCCCACTAAAACACCAGGGGTCCCCCAGCATACCATATTTGAACGTGCATAGCTTCTAAACCTTAATAAAAGATTAAAATTCAGATCTAGAAAAAGTGTTTCAAGGCCAACCCTTTAGGGAGAACTTTAAACTGTCCATAGAACCCCTTAAAGAGTGTACACAGACACAACAATGAAACTCTAGCATGATTTTCAGACAGGTAGACAAAGAGAGTACATAAGAAAAAGTACAATTCTGGGTGGACATATTGCCAAAAATTGGCCAGTGGAAGCTGAAGATATTAGGTACCACATGCTGAGCTATGCTGTATATTACTGTTTTAATTTAAGACATTGGTAGCCCAAAGAATTTCAGCAACTAGATCTACAAGTACATAGGGAAAGGTGTATGAATATAGTGCTTACAAACATAACCATTGTGTCAAGATCTTCCTGCATCTTTAGTGATCATGACCAGCCATAATGTTTGTTTTTTCATTGTGTGGACGTTTCAACGAGTTAGACATTTTTTTCTTCTTCAGGGCCTTCATCACCTGCTCGTCCTAGCACTCCTTTATCAGCAGGTAGCCCAATACCACCACTCCCACCCCGGCCATCCTCGCGGCCCAAACTTCCCCCTGGCAAACCAAACATGGCAGACTTGGTACAATATGCTCCTCTCTCCTCACACACCAATTTTATATATTTTAAATCCTTGGATTTCAACTAAACCATCATTGCATTTTTCTTTCTGAAATTGTGTACTGTTGGCTACCAGGCTTGGCCCTTCAGCGCTCCAGTTCACTCATGGAGTCCTCCTCCATTCGCTCCCCTGGCCCGAGCAGAAAGCAGTTCCTCCATTTCTTCCATCACTTCTCTCAGTGCGGCGTCCACACCGACGCTCGGCAGAGAGTTCAACCTTTCTGTATCAGGTGAGCTGCTAAAGATCTGAACCAGGAGGATTCCAGTTTGTCATGTTTCACCTGATGACATTGGTCAGATGAGTGGAAAAATTATTCAAGACAAACACCATGATTTACCACTGCTAGACTTTCAAAATGACCTGGATGACCACATACTTTCACAAACATGCAGAATTTGAGTTTAAGGCTAGACTAACCAGGAACCGGTGCTCAAGAAGATCTCAATTTTAGTGTGATCTTCCTTAGATTCAGTTGATTTAAACTTAGAGTATACTGTAGATTGAGTCAAGGCTAACTTAGGTTAAGGGTGTAAGGGTGTATCTGCTGTTATCTCTTTGATTTAGCCTGTTCCCGAGGACCAAGTCCACTTACCATGGGTCCCCAGGACACTCTCCCGGTGGCAGCAGCCTTCACAGAGACCATCAGCGCCTACTTCAAAGGAGCCGACCCTAGCAAGTACGGACTACGCTGATCAAGTCCAACTGAACCATGAACATGTCTCAGTCATGCACGTTAACTCATTAATCCCAACTATCCCTCACTCTGTGTCTCTGCAGGTGCGTGGTGAAGATAACTGGAGAGATGGTTCTGTCCTTCCCAGCAGGCATCACGAGACATTTTTCAAACCAGCCGAGTCCTCCAGTACTGACCTTCACCGTCAACCATTATGGCCGTCTGGAGCAGGTCCTCCCCAACCCCCAGCTCCTCTGCTGGTAAAATCAATATGTATAATGTCAGAGGTTGCAGAAATAGACTCTGGAATATAATTTTATATTTAGGGGGAACAACAGGGGGTCCGAGTGTGTGAACGATGTTGCACTGTTCCCCCCTTGGATTCCAGCTAAATCTTCCTATACCTTAGGCTAAATCTTTCTGTACTTGATGTACAAGGTCTCGAATATTTGCATTTTGCTGACATTGCTAAGATTTGCTAAAAAAATGTGAAATCTTTAGGTTATAACAGTGAGACTTATGCGCAGTGACCCGATGCCTGCCGTCTCCGACTGTAAAGAGTTTCGGGTGAACATGCCCAACCTGATGGCACATCTCAAGAAGGTGGCAGACCAACGGCCTCAGGCTACCTACTACAACGTGGACATGCTGAAGTACCAGGTGAGCCAAGAACACACTTTACTTCAACAAATATCAATGACTAATCAAATTGTATTTCCTTAAATGACAAAATAACACAGTTATACCATAGCACTTGATTCTGATTGGTCAGAAGGTGACATTTGCCCTGTGTTTTCAAACCCAGGTGTCGGCGCGGGGCATCCAGTCGACGCCGTTGAACCTGGCTCTAAGCTGGCGCGGCGATGCTAACAGCACAGACCTCAGGATAGACTACAAATACAATGCAGAGGCCATACACAACCACACAGCCCTCACCAACATCCACTTCCTGGTGCCGGTGGACGGCGGTGTTACCAAACTGCAGGCCATGCTACCTCCAGCCACATGGTGAGTATCTGTAGTTAATCCTGTCATAACAACTTAACAATTATTCATGAATGTTAGCTCAGTATCTAACATTTTGTGCTCGATGGTTGTGAGTTCAAATCCCAGAAATGCACAGCTGCATTCTTGATGTTTTGACCCACATATGCTTATGCTAGTATGGCTAATTAATCTGGATGAACAAAATATATATTTTGTTGTCTCAGGAACCCAGAAACACAGAAGATACTGTGGAAGATCTCTGAACTCTCGCAGAAATCAGAAAACGGAGGTACAAGACGTTCAAGTCCTTTTTGACTATAATATTATTATCATTTTTGTTCACCTAGTCCTCATTGGTGGTGAGAAGAGTACTGAAAATCCTTGATTTATTATGACCTTTGGTTACTCAATTTCTAATTAGTTTCTTCGTGTTCATAGTAATTGTTGAGTAATGAGCTGTAAGATTATTATATTAGGAATAACACACGATGGGCTGTGCTATTACTGGAGACTCCTTCCATAAATATATATAAGTAAACTCCTCCTTGCCGAAACTGTCACCAGATCAAACAGATTTTTAAAATCAGTTTTATATGTCGCGTCTTCCCTGCGATTAACGTGTTACTGTAGAATTGATCATTAGATTGAGTCCGTAAATATAAACT